GTTATCTCGATTCTCCAGCATCTGCAGTTCCGACTATGTCTTATAAGAGTGCTGACTGGTCGACAAGTGGACACTACTCGGTAGAAAAACTACCATGAAAAACACACCAATTAGATGTTAGAGGGTGGTGTCAGAGTTAGAGAAATACAGGAGCAGGGCCAGTACTGCAGCTAACCACGCGTTTGACTATTGTTTTTTTTAAACATTTCCTGGGTAATTATCTGGGTAAATCAGTCAGAATGCTTGAACAGAGTTTCCAAGGAATAGTAATTACATTCAAAATGCCACTCGACTGCTATTATATGGCTGACAGGTCACTTGTGCAGGATATGAAGGAATGAAGGGTGAAGGCAAGCAACACCTCTTTTACCACAGTAGTTGCCGTGTTCTGCAATTTAAATATCTAGCACGACAGAGTACTTTGACAGCTCGTGAAAGTATAAGTATGTAAGCTACATAAGGTAGGGTGCCAGGACAGTAAGAATGCAAGATAGGTGTACAAGTGATGGAGTGTCTAGGGTTCTGAAGGGTCACTGGACCAGACATTTTAACTCTGATTTCTCTCCAGATGCTGCCAGACCTGTTGAATTTTCCCCAGCAATTTCTGTTTGTGTTTGATTAGATCTTGGGTCAGTTGGATGTTGTAAGTGATGGGAGTATTTTAGGGTCGGTTGGGTTGTGGGGGTGACAGGGGGAAAAGGGGCTGGAAGGTGGTGCCTGGAGGGGATTTGAATCACTGGTCCAGCAGCAGGGTGACTAGGGTACTGTAAGGATGTCAGGTCTTTGGGGGAAGAGAAAGACTACGGAATCCTGGGCTTAGGATCTGGTGGATCAAGTTGATTCGTTGGAAATCAAGTTGATTCGTAATTTAGGATTTCCACTAGGCATTTAATAATCTATTTACCGGTTATTTAACTATTTAAATAACTGCGGTGGAACCCTCTGAATTTTCCAGATTAAATGGTGAGTTTGAGGGTCGCAGGATGGAGAAGGGGGAACATTTAATTTCAGGGGAAATTGCTGCCCCGTCCGATTATGACAGGGATCCCGTAGGATCGCGGCTGAAATAACGACGGTCTGGAAAGTGAGAGAGGGAGAGAAAGGAGGCTCCCCTTACCCAGGGAGGAGACTCCAAGCAGCGGGTTTTCTGAGGCCAAGGCGCTGACGAGCCGCGGCACCATGTTCCCGAGGAGCGGCAGCACCGTCTGCTCCCTGTCCCGGTACAGGAACGGCCGCCGCCTCTTCACGTAGAAGTTCTCCTGCGACAGCGCCTCGCACACCAGGGACCTGAGGCGGCCGAGCTCCGGCTCAGCTCCGGGCTGGGGGCCGCTCAGGCGGCCGGGCAACCCCGGCACGAAGACGGTCTTGGTGAAGCTCTGGTACCAGCGGTCCGCCTCCAGGGACAGTGTCTGCGGGTACACGACGTACTTGAGCCGCTGGATCCGGGTCAGGAGCCGGATCTTCTCGGACGCCGAGGGGGCCCCGTGAACCCGCTGGAAAAACTCGTCGACCCTCCGCCTCTGAGCTGACTTGCTTTTGGCGGTACGGGACGGGAGGACGGGCGGGTATCGGGAAGTCGGGCTTGGAGCCGGCTCAGTAACCAGCCCCGCGCGGCCCACTCTCCACTCCCGCCCGCCATTCAAACCGATCGCGCGCACCAACCGCCACCGTCTGCACGCCGCCATCTTCCCTCACCGCCCCACTGCTGAAGGCGGTCACGTGAAGACGGAGCTGTCCAATGGGGATTCAGACGCTGACAGAGCCATCCAATGAAAATTCACGGAGGGGCAGTATTATCCAATAGAAATGCACACGGAAACAGAACCATCCAATGAAAATAAAGGGACAAAGAAGGGGGCTTTGTTGCTTTTCAGCAACAGATTCCATCTTGTTTTTGAATGGCCATTGCTGATCTTGTACATTTCTAAGGGCCTTAACAAATACAACGGCCTTTTTATTATTATACTTTTTTTTTCGAACAAAAGGAAGGATTTTAAAAAAATTCTGTTGTGAGTATTGATGGTAAAGCTGTATTCTTGCCCATCCCAAGTGTTCTCATTGGTGGTTGTTGAACATCCTTCTTTAATCACTAAAGTGAAGATGTGTTCTTTATTGCAATAAACTCAGGGTTACTCAGAGCTAGGTGACCACAATTTAACATTGATATACAGCCATTCAACAAAAACAAACATGGCTGGAGGAACTCAGCAGTTGTGGCAGCATCTGAACAGAGAAAACCGAACTAATGTTTCAAATGCAGCAACCCTTCGCCAGAACTTTCTTCAAGATTGTGTGCAGTTTTGATCTGTACCTGAGGAAATGCACAGAATCACGGAATTATTGTGGAACAGAAGTTGGCCAATTGTGCCTGCACCAGGTCTGTTATCCAGTGCAAATCTCCTGCCTTTTTCTCATATTCCTGCACACCATCACTATTCAGATGCCCTCCTGAATGTCTCAGTTGAATCTGTCTCCACCAGATTTACAGACAGTGCATTCCATATTCCAGGCAGAACAGCACAGTTTGCACTGCTGCCTCCTAGTGTCAGGGACTCGAGTTCAATTCCACCCTTGGGGGACTATGTAGAGTTAGCACGTTCTCTTTGTGCCTGTGTGGCTTTCCTCTGGGTGATGCAGTTTCCTTGAAGAGTCTAAAGATGTGCAATTTAGGTGGATTGGCCATGCTAAATTGCCCATAGTGTTCGGGGATGTGCAAGCTAGGTGGACTATCTATGGGGCCCACTCTAACCTTTCCCCTTCTGAAATTGTCGCACTTCACTCTTTCAGGTCCAACCCTAACTTTGTTATCAAACCTGCTGACAAAGATGGTGCTATTGTAGTCTGACGCACTGATCTTTACCTGTGCGGAGGCTCAACGCCAACTATCGCACACTTCTTCCTACTCCCCCTGGACCATGACCCCACATCCTAACATCAAGCCATTGTTGCCAGGACTGTCACCAACCTCATTACCTCTGGAGATCTTCCTCCACACTGCCTGTAAATTTATAGCCTCCCAAACTCGGGCAGCCTGCTTCTACCTCCTTCCCAAAATCCACAAACCAGACTGCCCCAGTAGGCCCATCATATCAGCCTGTTCTTGCCCTAATGAGCTCATTTCCTCCTACCTTGACTCCATTCTCTCTCCACTTGTCCAGACCCTGCCCACCTACATCCACGATCCCTCTGATGCCCACCGCCGTATTGACAATTTACAGTTCCCTGGCCCTAGCTGCCTCCTGTTCACCATGGATGTCCAATCAGTCTATGCCTCCATTCCCCATCAGGACGGTCTGCAAACTGTGGGTTTCTTCCTCAACCAAAGGCCAGAACACTCCCCATCCACCACCACTCCTCCACCTGACTGAATGTATTCTCTCACTAAACAATTTCTCCTTTAATTCATCTCACTCCTACCACGTCAAAGGAGTGGCTGTGGGCACCTGCCATGGGTTCCAGTTATGCCTGCCTCTTTATGGAGTATGTGGACCAATCCTTGTTCCAGTCCTACACTGGCCCCCTCCCACACACTCTTTTCTCAATACATCAAAGGTGCCGCTTCATTCTCCCACCAGGACCTTGAAAAATTTGTTCATTTTGCCTCAATTTCCACCCTCTATAACTTTCACATCATCCAATTCCAACACTTCCCTTCCTTTCCTTGGCCTCTCTTTCTCCATTTCAGAGGATAAGCTGTTCACTGCCATCCACTACAAAGCCACTGACTCCCATTGTTACCTTCACTACAGCTGGTCACACCCCACGTCCTTTAAGGACTCCATCCTATTCTCCCAGATCGATCGCCTACGTCGCATCTGTTCAGATGATGCCACCTTCCAAAACAGCGCTGCTGACGTGGCTTGCTTCTTTCATTATCATGGTTTCCCGCCTGCTGTGGTTGACAGGGCCCTCAACCGCATCTGACCTATCACCCGTGCTTCCGCCCTTGCACCTTCCCATCTCTCACGATAGCAGGTTCCCCCCACCCTTGTCTTCACTTTTCATCCCACCAGCCTCCACATTCAAAGGATCATTGTCCACCATTTCAGGCAACTCCAGCAGAACGCCACCACCAAACACATCTTCCCTTCACTCCCCCCGTCTTCATTTCGCAGGGATCGTTCCCTCTGGGACACTCTAGTCCATTCATCAACCACTAACACCACCCCACTTCCCGTGGCACCTTCCTATGTAACTACAGAAAGCACAACACTTGCTCCCTCACCTCCTCCCTGCTCACCATCCAAGGACCTAAACAGTCTTTCCAGGTGAAGCAGCATTTTGCCTGTACCTCCTCCAATCTTGTGTATTGTATCTGCTGCGCCCAATGTGACCTACTCTACATTGGAGAAACCAAACGCAGACTGGGTGACCGCTTTGCACAACACCTTCGGTCTGTCCGCAAGCAGGACCCCAACCTTCCCATAGCTGGTCATTTTAACACAGCATCCTGCTCGCATGGCCACTTGTCTGAGCTCGGCATGCTGCAGTGTTCCAGTGAATCACAGCACAAACTGGGGGAACAACATTTCCTCTTCAGACTAGGCTCTTTACAGCCTTCTGGACCTAATATTGATTTCAACACTTTTATATTGTGAAACAACGTTATTTTCTTCCCTTTCCTTTAGCTTTACTTGTTGCATTCTCTGTCACCATGTCCTCTCTCCCCTCCTCCAATTGAGACTGTGTTCTTTCAAGTCTGGCAGGAGCTACATCCATTGTTCTGCCATTCTCACATTCCAATCACTTAATCTGAACCACCAACATCTTTTCTCCACCAGCACCCTACACCCCATGACCCCCACACCCTCCCCCAACTATAGCATAAACGCTGCCCCCTCCACACTTCACTTCAGCTCTGATGAGTAGCCGTCTAGACTCGAAATGTTAGCTTAGAGATAACAGGAACTGCCGATGCTGGAGAATCTGAGAAGGTGTAGAGCTGGATGATCACAGCCAGCCAAGCAGCATCAGAGGAGCAGGAAAGCTGGAGTTTCAGGTCTGGACTCTTCTTCAGAAATGGGGAAGGGAAAGGGGAAGGGGATTCTGAAGTAAATAGAGAGAAAGGGGGAGGCGGATAGAAGGTGGATAAAGGAGCAGATAGGTGGAGAGGAGACGGACAGGTCAAGGAGGCGGGGGTGGAGCCAGTAAAGGTGAGTGTAGGTGGGGAGTTAGGATGGGGATTGGTCAGTCAAGGGAAGACAGACAGGTCAAGGAGGCGGGGATGAGGCTGGTAGGTAGGAGGTGGGGGTTTGGTTGGTGAGGTGGGAGGAGTGGATAGGTGGGAGAAAAGACAGACAGGTCAAGGACGTGGGGATGAGCTGGGCTGGTTTTGGGATGAGGTCGGGGGTGGGGAGATTTTGAAGCTTGTGAAGTCTACATTGAGACCATTGGGCTGCAGGGTTCCCAAGCGGAATATGAGTTGCTGTTCCTGCAACCTTCGGGTGGCATTGTTGTGGCACTGCAGGAGGCCCAGGATGGACATATCGTCTGAGGAATGGGAGGGGGAGTTGAAATGGTTTGCAACTGGTTGTTTAGTGCGAACCGAGCGTAGGTGTTCTGCAAAGCGGTCCCCCAGCCTCCGCTTGGTTTCCCCGATGTAGAGGAGGCCACAACGGGAACAGCGGATGCAGACCATTGGGCTGCAGGTGTACCACGAAGCGGTCTCCAAGCCTCCACTTTGGTAAACCAAGCGGAGGCTTGACAAGTGGAGGCTCGGAGACTGCTTTGTGGAACATACGCTCAGTTCATGACAAACTACTGCACCTCCCAGTCGCGAACCACTTCAACTCCCCCTCCCACTCCTTGGACGACATGTCCATCCTGGGCCTCCTCCAGTGCCACAACGATGCAACCCAATGGTTGCAGGAACAGCACCTCAAATTTCGCGTGGGAACCCTGCAGCCCAATGGCCTCATGTGGACTTCACAAGCTTCAAAGTCATCCCACCCCTGACCTCATCCCAAAACCAGCCCAGCTCATCCCCACCTCCTTGACCTGTCCGTCTTTTCTCCCACCTATCCGCTCCTCCCACCTCACCGACCAAACCCCCACCCCACCTCCTACCTACCAGCCTCATCCCCACCTCCTTGACCTGTCTGTCTTCCCCTGGCTGACCAACCCCCATCCTAATTCCCCACCTACACTCACCTTTACTGGCTCCATCCCCGCCTCCTTGACCTGTCCATCTCCTCTCCACCTATCTGCTCCTTTATCCACCTTCTATCCGCCTCCCTCTCTCTCTATTTATTTCAGAATCCCCTTCCCCTCCCCCATTTCTGAAGAAGGGTCCAGAACCAAAATGTCAGCTTTCCTGCTCCTCTGATGCTGCTTGGCCTGCAGTGTTCATCCAGCGCTACACCTTGTTATCTCGAAATGTTAGCTTCCTCTCTTTGCATGAATGCTGCCTGACCTGCTGTGATCTCCAGCATGTGTTGTTTTCAGTACAGATTCCAGCATCTGCAGTAATTTACTCCTATGTATAGGAAAGGTAGGGTTACAGGGATAACGTGGGGTTGGGCTGGTTGTGATGCTCATCCGAAGGTCAATGTTGACCTGATGGACCAAATGACCTGCTTCCACACTGTAGGGTTCTGTGATATCCTAACTACTCATTATGTGAAAAAGGTTTTCCTTACATCGCCCTTGCTTCATTTGCACCTTTCTTTAAATCTATGCCCTCTCGTTCTGGTTTCTTTTGCAAGCAG